CTAGCATGCTTCAGACCCTGGGTCTGATGTCAGCACTACAATAACATCAACCATCTGACATATATGATTTTATTCTGTACTCTTCTACTCATTCACATCTGTCCCTATCAAAACATCTATATTCCACTTACTCTTCCTGTTACCCCTTTGAAGAAGAGACTCCCATTGGCCCGGCCGCCCCCCCCCGCTCCCTTCTCATGTTGGAGATGGTGTTTTCTCCAAGATAGTCTTTGAGTTCCTGGACTCAGGTAATCTTCATTCTTTATCTTGAGTAGTTAGGACTAAACATGTGTGTGTGTGTGTGTATGTGTGCGTGTATTTGTGTGTGTGTGTATTTTGTGTATTTGTGTGTATTTGTATGTGTGTATTTGTGTGTGTGTGTGCCACCATGCCTGACTCTTTTTGTAATTTCCTAATGAAAGAAACAATTCAGAAAAAAAAAATTGGAAGAATCACAGCCAGTGGGAGACTAACCCTTATTTTAAATTCACCTGATTGCTGGGCGGTGGTGGCGCACGCCTTTAATCCCAGCACTTGGGAGGCAGAGGCAGGCGGATTTCTGAGTTCAAGGCCAGCCTGGTCTACAGAGTGAGTTCCAGGACAGCCAGGACTACACAGAGAAACCCTGTCTCAAAAAACCAAAAAAAAAAAAAAAAAGGAAATTGTCTGCAAGAAACTCAATCCACTATGACCAGTGTTCTCAAATGAAGTTACTCTATCAACATAGTGGACCTCAACAGACTGGGAGCATTTCATGCTGTTCCGTGAATTCCAGGATGCTGGTACTAGGTGCTGCAGACAGGAGACTGTGAGCTGAGCAACATGCTCATGCTCCCCAGCTTGTCACTCAAAAGGCAGGCTTTATTGGGTTCTGTCATGCTACCTTGGCAGGGAAAGTAATTTGTACTTTTCTTTTTTCTTTTTATTTATTTATTTTTTTTTTGGGTGCAGAACGTTTATTGATGGTATCTCAGAGAGTAAGGAGGGCTCCCTAGGCCCCTCCTGTTGTTATCGGGATCCGGGAAGGAAATTGTGAGGGAGATGCTCAGTGTTGGGGACAGGGACTCCTCAGCAACCGAGGGCCTCTCTCTTGCTCTCAGTGTCCTTGCTGGGGTGGGTGGTCCAGGGTTTCTTACTCCTTGGAGGCCATGTAGGCCATGAGGTCCACGACCCTGTTGCTGTAGCCGTATTCATTGTCATACCAGGAAATGAGCTTTACAAAGTTGTCATTGAGAGCAATGCCAGCCCCAGCATCAAAGGTGGAGGAATGGGAGTTGCTGTTGAAGTCACAGGAAACAACCTGGTCCTCAGTGTAGCCCAGGATGCCCTTCAGTGGGTCCTCAGATGCCTGCTTCACCACCTTCTTGATGTCATCATACTTGGCAGGTTTCTCCAGGCAGCATGTCAGATCCACAACGGATACATTGGGGGTAGAAATATGGAAGGCCATGCCAGTGAGCTTCCTGTTCAGCTCTGGGATGACCTTGCCCACAGCCTTGGCAGCACCAGTGGATGCAGGGATGATGTTCTGGGTAGCCCCACGGCCATCACGCCACAGCTTTCCAGAGGGGCCATCCACAGTCTTCTGAGTGGCAGTGATGGCATGGACTGTGGTCATGAGCCCTTCCACGATGCCAAAGTTGTCATGGATGACCTTGGCCAGGGGGGCTAAGCAGTTGGTGGTACAGGACGCATTGCTGACAATCTTGAGCGAGTTGTCGTACTTCTCGTGGTTCACACCCATCACAAACATGGGGGCATCAGCAGAAGGGGCAGAGATGATGACCCTTTTGGCCCCATCCTTCAAGTGGGCCCCAGCCTTCTCCATGGTGGTGAGGACGCCAGTGGATTCCACAACATACTCAGCACCAGCATCAACCCATTTGATGTTAGCGGGATCTCGCTCCTGGAAGATGGTGATGGGCTTCCCGTTGATGACAAGCTTCCCATTCTCAGCCTTGACTGTGCCGTTGAATTTGCCATGGGTGGAGTCATACTGGAACATGTAGACCATGTAGTTGAGGTCAATGAAGGGGTCGTTGATGGCAACAGTCTCCACTTTGCCACCAGATGGAGAGCAGAAGGCAGCCCTGGTAACCAGGCGCCCAATATGGCCAAATCCATTCACACCGACCTTCACCATTTTGTCTACGGGATGAGGCTGGCACTGCACAAGAAGATGCGTCAATCTCTGGAACAGGGAGAAGAGAGCCTGTACTTTTCTTAAACTCTTTTTTTTTTTTGGTTTTTCGAGACAGGGTTTCTCTGTGTAGCCCTGGCTGTCCTGGAACTCACTCTGTAAACCAGGCTGGCCTCGAACTCAGAAATCCGCCTGCCTCTGCCTCCCAAGTGCTGGGATTAAAGACGTGTGCCACCATCACCTGGCTAGTTTGTACTTTTCAAATGATTCAGCCTAGCTTTTATCTGGGCATGGCGCCCACATCTTCAGTAAGGACTGGGGTCTACTACACAGGAGGCTGAGGGAGGATTATTACTTGAGTCTGGGAGTCTAGGCCCCAGCCTGAGTAATACAAAAATCTCATCTTAAAATCAGTCAATTAACTTTTATATTACAAAAAAAACACAAATAAACAAAATTCTCATGCTATTGGGAAATTCTAATTTCCATCTTAACTAGAAAATAATTGCAGTTTCTAATGAGTCTACCACCAAGAAGATATCTTCTAGTTTCTGTTGGGGCTGATAAGATGGCTCAGTGGGTAAAGATGCTTGTTACCAATTCTAGCAGCCTGAGTTTGATCCTCAGGACTCACACAGTGGAATGAGAGAACCGATTCCTGGAAGCTGTCCTTGGACTTCCTCAGGTGACTGTGGCATGTGTGTAGACACACAGATTACATAAATAAATGTAACTTGTAAAAGTTAGTTTTGGGCTGGTAGTGGTGGTGTATGTCTTCAATTCCAGCATTTAGAGACAGAGGCAGGCAAATCTCTGAATTTGAGGCTAGCCTGGTCTACAGAGTGAGTTCCAGGACAGCCAGGGCCAAACAGAGAAATCCTGTCTTGAAACAACAAAATAAAAACTCTTAGAAGAAAACAGGGTTTGTCTTCATGACACTGGATTTGGCCATGGATTCTCAGATGTGACACTAAAAACAAGGCCAACGAAGCAAAGTGGACATGGAAAACCTGCCATTTGGCTGGGCGTGGTAGCAGATGACAGTAATCCTAGTCCTTGGGAGGCTGAGACAGGATGGCCAGTTGCAAGCCAGCCAAAGTCCTGTCACAGCAAACATCAAAGAAACCTATCAACAGGATAAAAAGACGACCTAGAGTGGGAAGCAGCATCTACATGTCAGGTACCTAAGGAAAGACTTTGCCAACTCGGCAGCAATAAGGATCCCAACCTAAGGACTTGAATGTTTCTTCAAAGGAGGAAGCGTAAATAAACTCACAAGAGGGCTCAAAGGCATTAGCCATTAGAAAAGGGACAAGCCTATAACCTCGACTGGAGAGGATAAGGCAGGTAGACTGCAGGTTCGAGGCCAGCTTGAGCTAAGTCCCTAAATCAAAAATGAATAAAAACAGAAAGTGAAGGCTAGAAATCAGTGTGTTACACCACAAGGGGGCGGTGTTTATCCACCAGCCCTAAGTTCTGTCCCTTCACTCCATGCTGAGAGGATAGGATAGTATCCTGAGATGGGTGGCTAGTCTTCCTGCCTCTTCTCTGCCAGTCTTCTGCAGATTCTGGTGCCAACTCCCCAAATACTGGAGGTGCTGCTGCACAGAGACCAAGAAAGGAGGAAGCAGCAAAGAAAGAACAGCAGGCTTCCCCACTGGGGCCACAGCGCTTGCTGTGGTAAGGTGCCGACACTGGGCATCTCCAACTAGAAGCTGAGTACATACAGGACAAAGGTTCAGCTCAAGCTGAATCTTGAGATTCTTTTGGAGCCTAGTTTAGTAGTTAGGTATTTTAGGAGAATGTATTAAAAACACATACACACTTTAATCAAAGGGTGGAGAAGGGCAGTTCGGTAAAGAATAACATCTGCATTTCTAATGAGAGTTGCTCTGGAACTCATAAAACTTGGGTAAAAAATACAGGTTTTGTTTGTTTGTTTGTTTGTTTGTTTGTAACAGTTGGAAACTTTCCTTGCCTCATCTGAACTCAGAAAAGGGGCTTTTAAAATTCTAAAAACACAGCAGTTTAGCTGGGCATGGTGGTACACACCTTTAATCCCAGCACTTAGGAAACAGAGGCAGGTGGCTCTCTGTGAGTTCAAGGCTAGTCTGGTCTAGAGTGAGACTCTGTCTCAAAAACAAGAAAAACCCACCCAAAACATTAGTAATAAAACATAGCAATTTAACCAAGTGTCTAGCTCAGCAGTAGTCAGTCATTCCCTTAATTCAGTGAGTGTTTGCCTAGCATGCATATCTGTGCATCACGGGTATATATGGTGCCTATGGGGGTCAGAAAAAGAATTCCCTTGGGGTTTGAGTCACAGACAGTTGTTAGCCACAGGGTATATGTGTACTATATGCATGAAGTGCCCAAAGAGGCCAGAAGCTGGAGACAGACCACCTGTACTAGAGTTTCAGACTTCATGAGTCACCCAGTAGGTGTTGGAACCCAACCAAAGTCCTCTGCAAAAGAGCAGCCAGCACTCTTAACTGCTGGAGTCATCTCTCCAGTCCTAATTCATTCTCATTCTCTCTCTCTCTTTTTCTCTTTCTTTCTAGCACCATGGTTTCTAGAACTTTTCCAAATCTTTATAAACAGAAACTGTATCATTACATGTATCTTCTGATTGGCACCTCTCCTAGGCTGGCAACAAATATTACTGTTCTTATTCTATTTTTTTTTCATTCTTTTTTTGCCTTTTAATCAAAGAAAGGGTCTGCTGTGGACCAATAAGGTAGCTTCTATACGTCCAAGCCTTCTTGTTCACCTGTGATTGAGTTTTGTTTTGTTTTGTTTTTCGAGACAGGGTTTCTCTGTGTAGTCCTGGCTGTCCTGGAACTCACTCTGTAGACCAGGCTGGCCTCGAAATGTGATTGAGTTTATTGTAGAGAAAAGTAACAGAAATTGGTTGGATAAAGAAAAGAGTTGGTCATAGAACTAATGTGGGCTTCTATCCCCAAGCCTTAGCAGCCCAGCCACGGGTCTGCACGGTTCTTTCGCATCAGGAAGTTAATCTTTCGAGCCATCTCCATGTTGTAGATCCTCCGGCATGTTTCATAGCTCTCCCGCTGGCGGCGGCGGCAAGGCTTCTCATAGTACCGTCGTCGCTTTATGACTTCAGTGAGCCCATCAGTGGTGAGGATTCTGTATAAAGGCAGGTAATAAAGTCAGATGCTGTGGTCAACGCTGTTCCTTACCAGTTTCACAGCCCATAGGAAGCCAAGAGGCAAAAATAACTTGGGTTTGAAAGTTACGGTGGGAAGAGGTAACAGCAAAGCTTTCTAGAGGCTCCAGTAAGACCCCAAGAGGTAAAATTAAAAAGCAGCCGTAGTTCTCACTCCTGGGGAGCTTACAGTCAGAGTTAGACTCTCACTTTTGACGCTCAGGACGCCTGAGGTGTATGACAGCTTCAGAGGGAAAGAGGCTCCCTACGAAGCGCTTTTCAGTCAAGGGAAAGCACACGTGAAGCTTGGTGTGCGGTGCTGCATGCCTTTGATCCCAGGACTCAGGAAGCAGAAGCAGGCGGATCCCACAAAACCAAGCGACAACCACAACTGAGGAAAACCATTTGTAATTAAAACAGAACAAAACTCAGTGGAGTGATTCCTCAGTTGATTCTTAGTGAAAAATGTCGCTCCTTCCTCTTTGTACTTGAGAACTGGTGTGGTGGTGTACACCGCTGTCAGCCCAGGGCTGGGGAGGCTGCTGTGAGAGGGGGTGATTTCAGATCTGCCCTAGTAATTTAGATCCTGCTTTTAAAAACAAAAACAAAAAAAAATACCTAAATAAAAGAAATATAACTTAGTGGTAAAGTACATGCCTCACAAGTATGAAACCTTAGAGAAAAAAAAATCCATACAACTGGTGTCTGAGCAATTGCCAAGCTCCCTAAACACGGGCCCTCCCTAGTGGGGACACAAAGAACACTGCAGCAGCCTCACTCACTCACCATCCCCATGTCCCGCATGCTCCAATCACATGACTGTGTGTCCTGAGTGTGTAGGTGCTTACTGAGGTTAGGGATCTGCCTGAGGTGTTATTCCTCAGGCCCATCCTCCTTACTCTGTAAGGATCTCATTGGCCTGAAGAGCACCCAATGATTGGGCCAGGCTAGACAAACTTTCTTAGACATGGGAAGAGCTGGGTGGAGCTTCTCATCTAGGGGGAAAAAACACATGCCAAGAAGATGGGGTATCATCTTAATACCTAACCATTTCTTTTTTCTTTAGTGCTGGAGATGAAACCAAGAGCATTGATAAACAAGACAGAGCACGTCTTTAATCCCAGCACTTGGGAGGCAAAGACAGGTAGATCTCTTGAGTTTGAGGCCAGATTGATTTACACAGTGAGTTCCAGGATAGCCAGGACTACACAGTGAGACCCTGTGTCAAACAACTGAACAAAAATGAAAAATAAATAAATAAATAAATAAATAAATAAAAGCACAGATTAGTCTGCGAAGATGGTTGAGTTGACACGGAATCTGAGTTCCAGTCTCAGAATCCACGTAAAAAGGCCCCCACTTGTAATCCCAGCATCGGGGAGGCAGAGCTAGCCAGCCAGCCTAGCTTACTGAGACAGACCTGGTATCAAATAAGCACTAAAAAAAAGGTAGATGGTGCCTGAGGAAGGTCACCTTATGTGTCCACTGGCATCCAACACACACGTGCCCGAATACTCACATGAAAACACACACACACACACAAACACGGGGCTGGGGATGTAACTCGGTTGTTACCTGGTTTGACCCCCAGAGTCCCTTAACCCAGTAGTGGTGTACACCTGTAGTGCCAGCAAGTGGGAAGAGTCATACATGGCCAGCCTAGGATACATGGGACCCTGTTTCAAAAAAACCCTAAAAACCAACCAAATAAACCAACCCAAAAGAACTCAAGAAGTAATAGCTAAAGGGCTGGGGATGTAGCTGAGGGGTTAAGTGCTTGCCTGAGTTATATTCAAGCCCCTGCCTGAGTCTACTTCCCAGTGCAGGGGTGGGGGTGGGGTAACTGCAGATGGAGATCAATGGCGGCACTCGGGGAAGGTGTCACTAGTGTCACCTCGGTCTGCAAAGGTAGTTCAAGGACTAGCAGATGAGAGCTTAGTGTAAACAGATCAGCCTGGAGTTCTGGTGCCTGGCAACCTTACATGAAGGAGAAACCAGCTGCCAGTTTTAGTAAAATTCAACTGATTATGTAAAAGGAGCCGAGCTGCTTACGAGGGGAACCTGGGGGTGGCAGACTCACATGTCTGCGTCAGCCACTGTGTACGCAGAAGGACTCAATGAACCCAGAAGCTAGCCCATCAGGAGTAAAAGGGGTCAACTGGGCATGCTTCCAGTGTTCTTGTCTTTCCTAGTTTGGGGGCCAGCCAATCACACAAGGCTTCTAGCAACCCCCACTCTCCACATCCTCACTTCAGGGCTCCAGTGAAGGCCCCTGGTTATATAACAGGCATTTGTGGCAGTCTCCCAGGGTAGACACATAGGCCTTTTCCTTTGTAAGGCTTCCCCTGTGCTCCAAACTCCATAAAGGTTTAACCACACTCCCCTCTCACTCGAAACAGCTAATGTAATCAGATCACAGAACAGAGAGGCTTATTTTTTAAACTACAACCATCCGAAAGCTAAGAAAGAGAAGACTGGGGTGAGACAGGTATGTGGAAAAGGTGACCCAAGGGGAAGATGTTAGAGAACAGCAAGGAAAGGCCGTGTAAGAGAAGCTAAGTCAGGAAGGGCTGCATTGGACAAGGAGGATGAGGCGCTGCACGGGCTCTGCCCCCTTACACAAGCCTACAAGCTCCTCTCTAGAAAAGCACCCTGAGAGCAACCGATTGGTCACGTCCCTCCTCCAACCAGGCGAAAGTACAACGTATAACACATTTCCAAGATTTTAAAAAAGGAATAGAAATGCAGCTTTCTTCTTCTTTGCAAATTATATTTTTATGCTAAAAATGTAGCTTTTTGTTTGTTTTTGAGACAGGGTCTTAAATATCTCAGGCTGGCCTCTTACTTAATATGTAGTCAAGGATAACCTTGAATTCCTGATTCTCCTGCCTCAGCTTTCTTGTGCTGGCTGGAATTACAAACATGTGCCACCCTAACCAGTCTACTATTTTTAAAATGCAGCTTTCTGAAGTGACTTTAAACTGCCAATACATTCCATTTGCTGTTTTCCAAGCCATGGTTTCAAGTTCATAAGGAAGCCCCATGGAGCTTGGGTTCAGAGTCCAGGAGCCTGGATTTCTTCAGTTATTCTTATAAACATCTCTTCTGCTCAACTGAAGTCTTCCTTGTTCCAAGGATTCTTTCTCTCTAGTAGTCTTACATACTCCAGGCTGGCCTCAACTTGCTATGTAATCAAGGATAACTTGATCTTCCTGTTTCTAATTCTGAGTGCCAGAGTTGTAGGCAAAAGGCACCATCCATCACTTTCTAAGGTGCTGCTGGCCTTTCCACCAAGTAAGCTGTATCTTCAGATCAAATCTTCTTTTTTTAGGTAATATAAATTGGGTCCTCTTCTCAAAAAAAGAAATTTGGTGTTTTAAATAACCAAGAAAAAAGTACTCTGTGTCCTCATTTTTTGAGACAAGGTCTGTACAGTTCAAGCTTGAGAGCCTCCTGCCTCAGCCTCTACAGGACTGGGCTGCAAGTCACCACCCCCAGCTGCTTTGTACTTACTTATTTTTTAAAGAAAATAAAATTTTTTTATGCCGGGAATTTAGCTTATAATCGGTTGGTAGAGTGCTTCCCTGGCGAGGCCTGGGTTCTAGCCCCAGAGCTGTAGAGAATGGGGTGTGTGTGTGTGTGTGTGTGTGTGTGTGTGTGTGTGTGTGTGCGCATAGGCCTGTAACCCTGACTCAGGAGATGGGGGGAAGTGCATTAGGAGCTTAAGGTTATTCTTAGCTATATGGTAAACTTGAGGCCAGACTGGGCTACATAAGATTCTGTCACAAAAAAAAAAAAAAATTTAAAAAAAAAATAAATAAAAATAAAAAAGAAAAATTCCTTGGAACAAGATCTGAAATAATACCAGGTCAGGTGGTAGAAAGTATCCTCACAGTATCTACTTTTTAGATTTTAATTTTTTTATGTATATATGTGTTTGCCTGCATGTATGTCTGTGTACACAGTATGTGCCTGGTCCTGTGGAGGCCAGGAGTTGGTGTCAGATGCCCTGAAGTGGAGTGGGCGCTGAGCATTGAACCTTGGTCCTCTAGAGAGCAGCCTCAAATTTGCAATATAGTCAAGGACAACTTTGAGCTTCAGACCCTCCCACTGGCACCTCCTAACTGCTGGAACTGTAAGGGTGTTCACACACAGTTTATAGAGTACTAGGGAAGACACCCAAAGCCTCAGACAAGCCAACCAAGCACTGCCATCTGAGCTACAACCCCAGCCCAAGAGGACGGTCTAGCTCCAGGGGATTCTATACCCTCCTCAGGGATACCCAAATACCCATGGTACACACAGACAGTCACAAAAATAAAAATATTTTGTTTGGCCAGGCAGTGGTGGCGAACGCCTTTAATCCCAGCACTTGGGAGGCAGAGGCAGGTGGATTTCTGAGTTCGAGGCCAGCCTGGTCTACAGAGTGAGTTCCAGGACAGCCAGGACTACACAGAGAAACCCTGTCTCGAAAAACCGAAAAACCAAAAAAAAAAAAAAAAAAAAAAAATTGTTTGTTTTTTGGTTTTTGAGACATAGCCCTGATTAACCTAGATCTCACTATCTAGACCAAGCGGACTGTGAATTCACAGAGATCAAGTTCTAGGATTAAAGAACAATAAAATAAATCTTTAAAATCAAGACCAAGCAGTGTTGGTATAGTGGTGAGCACAACTGCTCGACCTAGGTTCGATTCCCAGCCAAGGCAATGTGCCCACATTTTGCAAAGGTCCTGGACCACGTTGGCCATGAAAGGGGTCCTGTCTGGCCCCTCTGGGTTTGTCCTGAGACTACACCAGAGAGCAAGGTGATAGACATGAGATGGCTTGGCGGTTAAGAACACACTGGCTGTTCTTCCAGAGGTCCTGAGTTCAATTCCCAGTAACCAGACTGTGGCTCATGACCATCTGTAAGGGCATCTGATGCCCTCTCCTGGCATGCAAGTATAAATGCAACAAAGCACTCATTAAATAAATAAGTAAATAAATGAATCTCCTAGTAACGATTAAATAAGACTGTGACCCAGCTTCAAAGAATAGATGACCACCTCATTCAGAGAGGGCATGAGAAATATTTTATTTCGTATGCTTTGCTTTTTAGTCCTGAAAGTAAAAACAAGTAATGCATTCCATTACACATGGAAAAATGGACAAAGGAAGTGAGTGCTGTTGGCCTGAGCTGCAGAGAACCACCATCACAGAAGAGAACTCTCTCCCGTACCTGTAGCAAAGCAAGCTTCATGTGAAAATAAAGCTTAGTATGTCTTTCACCCTCAGGCCAAGGAAATAAGAGGGAAAAAAGAGAGAAAAGCTAAAAAGAGGAGCCTAGTGGTACACATCTCAGCACTCAGGGGGCAAAGTGGGCAGGTCTCTGTAAGCTCTAGGCCAACCTGGTCTGCACAGCAGTTCCAGACCAGCCAGGGCTACACAGTGAGACCCCTCTCAAACAAACAATCAAACAAACAGCAAAACAAAACAAAGCAAGAGCTGGAAAGATGGCTCACTGGCTACAAGTGCACTTTTCTTCCAGAACCTACGTCAGTGGCTCACAACGTCCAGAACTCCAGCTCCCAGGGGGCCAATGCTTCCAGCCCCTGGCACCTGCACTCATGTGCATGTACACACATGCATACACATCATTAAAAATGAAATAAAAATGTTAATGAGGCGTGCCAGACTAGGGAAGCCTAAAAGAACTAGAATAGTACAGTATCAACAGGACTAGTTTCTATCCCATAGTCTAGTGTTCAGACGCCTCTCCACGGAGCCCCTCCTCTCCCCGGAGCCCCTCCTCTCTCTCCAGCTATGTCATTTTTTTAAAAGTGTAGGTATATGTTTGTTTATGTCACATGTGTGAGTACCTGCAGAGGGCAGGTAGAAGAGTGTATTGGATCCCTGACGTCAGTTGTTGGTATTGGGAACCAAACCTTGGTCCTTTGAAAGAACAGCAAGCACTCCTTACCACTGAGCCATCTCTCCAGCCCCTAGCTATCTATCTCTGCTTATGCAATAGCTCTCTCTGGAACCTGAAATGCCTTCTCATCCATGACTTATTTCTTCAGGAGCCCAATTAGAATTCATCTTTTCTAGCCAGGCACATGAACAATAATGAACATACAATCAACCTCAGCTTTTGGGAGACGGAGGCAGGAGGATCAGGAGTCAAGGTTATCCTTGGCTACACTGTCCATTCTAGGCCATCCTGAACTATATGAGATGAACACCATCACAAAGGAATTAATCTTCTCTTGTAGCCTTCCACAGAAGCTGGCTCCGCTGTTTCTCATGCACTACGTCTCTGCTTCTTGTTTCTCATTTCCCATCCAGCTTTTTTTTGACATGGGGAGGGGTCCTCTGAGACTGAGTCTAGTCAACATTGTCTACATTATTCTCAAATTCTTCCTGCCTCCACCTTCCAGGTGCTGTCTATACACAGGCAGACAATACACAGGCAGACACAGCCTTACAGGCTCTTTCCAAAACCTTAGCTAGAACTCAGGTCCATCATCAGGGGATGATGGCTGCTTGCCGGATAAGCGCCATCGAGTAGAAACTGGAAAACTTCATTTTAGGGTAATTGAGGGGATGAGAACTGTCTGCACACTGAGCTGTCACAGTGTGAGGATCGTTTATGAGGTGGGGTAGGCTAGGTGGAGGATAGCCTTACACTTCCCACGGCTGGTCTAGGCAAGACTCTGACTCAGTTTACCTGTTCAGGGTCCTGTAGGCACCTTCCACGTTCCCCTCCTGAACCATCACAGTCCTGGCAATGAACTTCAGATGTTTAGCCATGGCCTTGTATTTAAATTTTCATTCTTCAGGACCTATAGACTGGACAAGGAGCAGGGAAACCAGAGACTCAGTATAAGAGAACAAAGCTCGAGTCACATGTTACCATAGTTAGTTTTATTCAATCTAGAAATAGAACCAGCTCAGGAACCACCGGACCAGGCAGGAGGAATTCTTGATGGCTTAGTAGTTAAGTAATTAAGAGGATCCAAGTTCGATTCCCAGTACCCACAGGGTGGCTCACAACACATCCAGCCCCAGGGAATCCAACACCCTCTTCTGGCCTCTGTGATGCACAGACAGACAGACATGCAAGCAAAACACTCATACATATAAAAAATAAATAACTTTTCGCTTTTTAAAGGAAAAAGTACAAGTGAATTGTTACCAACATTCCTTTCACTGCCGGTGATATGGCTTAGCAAGTAAAGGCACTTGCCACCAAGCCTGACGACCTGAGTTCGAGCCCTGGATCCATGTGGTGGAAAGTGGACAGACTCCTGCAAGCTGTCTGACTGTTGCCCTCCCCCTCAACTTCACCGAGCCAAACCAAAAAAAATAAACGAAAAGATAAATGCCGGGTGGTGATGACGCACACCTTTAATCCCAGCACTTGGGAGGCAGAGGCAGGCAGATCTCTTGAGTTCGAGGCCAGCCTGGTCTACTGGTCTAGGGAGCGAGTTCCAGGGCTAAATACAGGGCTACATAGAAACACTCTCGAAAAACCAAACCAAAGTTGAAAATAACTCTTCGTTCGTCTCTAGGCACCAGGCTGCCCCGCGAAATCCTGCCCTCCCAGCATACACTCTTTGTAGCTCAGTGACCCCTCACATCCCCCGAGCTCCCAACCTGGGGCCTCCGAATTCGGACTCCGCTATCCTCCGGACCGGAAGCGGAAACTACGGAATCCGTGGCGGGAGGAAGCTGCGCGCAAGGGCTCAGACCGCTGCAGAGCACCGCTTACAATCTGACCTTGTAAAGTTCCATTCTGAGCGCAGGCGCTGGACTCTTCCTTCGCCTGACAGTCAAAGAAACGGCGTCCTAGCCTTCCTATGGAGGAGTCGCGGTCGTTGGGTCTGCGAGAAGGTCAGCCCGATCCGTGGTTCTAATCTTGTTAAACTTTTTACTAGGTCTGAGCGATTTCGTTTTCTGGATGGGAAATGGGAAGCGTCCTGAGAATATTATCTATTCAAAAAGGACAGATGTGCTCACCGGGCGAAAAACAGCTCCACTCCCTTCATTTGTCTAAAAGTTAAGAAAAGAAATTACGTACTGTGAGTTTCCCATTGCATCAGATACCTGAGACACTAAATAAAGTAGAATCACTAAAGAAACAAATGGGAGACGCCTGCAGAATTTTAAATCAAAGTATTGTTGTTGTTTTTTTAAATTTCAACTTTGCCATTTGTTGCCTAGTAAGATCTAGTAGAAATATCAAGGTTTTTTTTCTTCCACATTGTCTTGACAACTTTATGTGTTATAGCCACATAACCATGTGTCGTTATTTACTTGGGTTTAGAAGTAATGAATACAGAAAAAACATACCCACAACACACAGACACACCCCCATCTGTTATTTCTTTAAAAGATTTGTTTTTATTTTATGTGTATGTACGTGTGCCTGCATGTATGTATGTGCACTGTGTGCGTGCAGGAGCTCAAGACGGATTGGAGAGGTGTTGGGTCCCTAGAACTGGAGTTAATAGGTGGTTCTGAGCGGCCATGTGGGTACTGGGAACTGAACCCAGCTCCTCTGCAAGAGCAATTAATTTTCTTAACCACTGGGCCATCTAGCCAGATCATTATCAGTTAATAGGTACTCACACAAAGCTTAAGCCTGACTAGTCATAGTAAGCCAAATCCAACGTACCAAAGAACCTCTGTAAGAGCAACAAGTGCTCTTAGCTGCTGAGCCAACTCTTGTCCCCTTGTTATAATTTTCTTTTTTACTGGACTGAAAAAAAAAGTTTTTATAAATGTACATGGGGTTGTTGTCTGCATGTATGTCTGATGCCGAGAAAGGCCAGAAGAGGGCATCGGAGCCACTGGATCTAGATTTACAGATGTTGTAAGCCATCATATGGGTGCTGGGAACCTAACCTGGGTCCTGGGTAAGAGCTGTTAGTACTATTAACCTTTGAGCCTTCTGCCCAACTTCTGTGGCCCCAAATTTTAAGCTTAGTTATCTAGAAAAATGTTGGTATCACATGTCACCAACAGAAGAGGAGAGTAATTCTGTCTGTGTGCGTATGCGCACACAGGAATTCGCACAAAAGCTCATGTGTATGTGTCATAGCACATATATGGAGGTTAGAGGACAACTTGCCAGTATTGTTTCCCTCCTTCTACCAGGTGGGTCCCATGGTCTGAACTCAGGTCATCAGGGTTAGTGGTGGCAGAGGCCTGTACCCACTGAGCTATCTCACCAGGTCTTTTACTTGAAAGACGTGTGTGTGTGTGTGTGTGTGTGTGTGTGTTCTTGCATGCCCATGTGTGAATGTATGTGCAGATATATGTACAAGTGCATGTTCCTGTGCATGCCCAGAAGAGAGCATCAAATTTCTCAGAGCTGTATAGGGATTTGTGGGATGCCATAGCCTGGCTTACTAAATGGTTTCTGGAATCCTCACTCCAGTCCTTATGCTGAGATGGCAACTGCTCTTAACTGCCTAGCTATCTCCTCAATGTTCCCTGCATGTTTTTTAAAACAGGGTCTAGGCTGGTCTGGAAGAAGATGTGTAGCTGATGATGACCTTCTGTCAACTTATGATCCTCCTGCCTCACCTCCCAAGTACTGAGATGACATCCGTGTGTACCCATGCACAGCTAACACTGTGTGGAGCTACCTCCCCAGCCATAAAATGCTAACATTTTAATACAGTTTTAACTAATTAAAACTATTTGGATTTATTGTATATGTACAAGTGTTTTGCCTGCATGTATGTGCACCATAAGAGGTCAGGTACCCTACAACTGGAATTACAAAGGTTTGTGAGCCACTACGTGGGTGCTGGAAGCTGAACTTTGGTCCTTTGCAAGAGCAATAGGTGCTCTTAACTGCTGAGCATCTCTGTAGGCCTCTGTAATTAAAAGACAACAAAACAACAAAAACTTTTGTGTCTGTGTGTGTGTGCACGTGTGTGTGAGCCTGCATAGTTATGTGCAAGTGCAGAGGTCAGAGGACAAGTTGTGGGAGTCGGCAGTTCTCTCCTTCCACGGTGTGGAATCTGCATGTCCAGCTCAGTAAGGCTTACCTTCAAGAGCTTTTATCTGCTGAACCATGTTGCTGGCCCCTTAAGTTGTTTTTTGTATAAGCGATATACAAATAAACTCCCCAACAGAAATGCATGCATTCAGTGTGCCTTCTTATGACAGATGATGCAGAGTTAAGGTACTTAAATATATAGAGCAAAACCAGGAGCCTCAAAGAACACCCACACTCTGGTGGGTGGGAGTGGAGCAATTAAGGAGCCTAGAAAGTGCTGCCAGCCGGGTGAGAGTTGGGACTGTGTGAGTCACAAGATATAAGGTAGGAAGGTTTCAGAAGGTAGGATAAAGTGTCAAGTGATACAGTACGCTGGCTTTGTGAAGGCTCCTGGGTTTCACTATCAATTAGGGGAAGGTATGTTATAAAATACTTTAGTGCTGATTCTGTGGGCTTATTAGTTACTTTGGAAGGTGCAACAGAATGAACGTAGTGTGAACCAGGCTGCAGAGTTGGCTGCAGTGGCTGTGAGGTACTAGAAAATCCACCCTGAGGAGTTACAGTTCATATTGGGGCTGCAGGCTTTGTGGTAGAGCACTTGCCAGCATGCATGGGAACCGTAGCTCAGCCCCTAGTACTGAGTGGTGGTGAGAGGGAGCAGAACCAGAGTACAAAGAGGAGAAGGGGGATTGTGGCTCAAGCAGTATTTTCAGCAAGCCAATAACTGGTGACACAGGGGAAGTAATTATCATGGGTCCCAAATTAAGTTACAAGTTCCACAAACAAGACAATTCAGAGGTCTAAGAGATGCTTGCTGTCTTGCAGAGGGCCTGGATTTGGCCCCTTGCACTTCTGTGGCGGCCCGCAAACATCTTTAACTAAGTTCCGGGGATCCAATGACTTCTGGCCTCCTTGGATATCAGCCATGCATATGGTACAGGCAGATAATCATACACATAAAATAAAAAGAGCCAGGCATGGTGGCTCATGCCTCCTTTAATCCCAGCACGCGAGAGGCAGAGGTAGGCCTGGTCTGTGTGACAAGTTCTAGGCCAATCAGGGCTATACAATGAAACCCTGTCTCAAAAAAAAAAAAAAAATGAGGTATAAAAAGCCATCAAAATCATAAATGGAGCTAAGAGTGGTGTTTCACACCGTAATTTGTGGGGAACCAGGATCACTTTGATTTCCAGGCCAGCCTGACCTACACAAATAAAGGTTTGCCTCAGAAAGGAGGTCATATTTTCTAAAATAAAGGGAGATGATTTATTTACCAGGACACTGGGCTTGAGGAATGGGAGAAAGCCGACTACTGAGAAGCATGCTGAGCACCTAAGAAGCAATGACTAAGAAGACAGAATTATCTGATGCTCCGGAAAGGCCGGATGAGAGAGGAAATGGTTTTGGTAGAAACTAGGACAAATAGAAAGGAATACGCCTTAGAAGGGCGGAGATCCATTCATGGGCTTCAGTCAATAACACCTGAGTAGCTTTTCCCAGCCTAGTATCATACATTTAGCACTCACAGCTGTTTGTAGGGACATGGCCCAGAGTCTGAGTCCTCCTACCCTGATCTCAACAACTCTAGGGCACTATGCCCTCTTCAGAACTGGCCCCTGATGACGGGGCTTTCCCTCTTCTGGAGGCAGTAGCAGGTTACATTCGCCTTTACCCTCGAGCAGCAACGGCTCCCTCCCATCAGAGCAGAAGCAGCTGCTTGTCTGGCCAGTGGGAGATCCCACAGGGAGACTCGAAGAGAAAGGTACTAGTTTCTCAGTGTGAACAGACAAAAACCCAAAACACCAGCTCTGAACCTGTGTCCAAAGGGTGCGTGCGCCCTCACAGGTTTTGTATGATCCCAACCCAACTCTACCTTGCAGAGCTCATGTTCACAAACACATCTGTCCTATCTTCTTTTCAGAAGCTGAGTGAGATTTATGGTACACCAGGCTCAAAGTTTTCAATTTACAACAGTCAGAAAAGTGTTTAAGTAAAAAAAAAAATGCCTTTAATCAGAAAGGATTTATTTTTCCTCACCACAAATACATTAAAAGTAAAAAAAAAGTACATAAACATATATTCATACAAACTGGGACTCGGGACAGTTGAAAAGCCTGAGTTAGAGCTGAGGATCAGGAGTAAGTGGAGGACGGCTAAGCATCTGTGGCGCTGGGTGTCCTTTAGTCATCTCTCTGTCTGTGGTAGGTAGGACAGATGGACAAAGGATGCAACTCCAGTCTGATGGCAGTGTTACTGGCAAACTGTGGCAGCGAGGCTCCTCTCCAGACAGTTTCTTCAGATCACCGGGGATGACAGGAGACAGTGTAGTTGGTGGGATCGGAGTGCCTGGGGCAGAATGGGTGAAGGGCTGTCCTCCTTTCTGGAGGACAAGGATGACACCAATGCTGGCTCCAGTGCCCATGGGACTGTGGCCAGAGGTGGAGCCTTGGGAACTGAGGGGAGGGTTACAAATTGGAGTGTTATGAATCCAGGTGAGGTTCATAGCCGGCCATCCTGTGAGATGCCAAGGCTGCTTTGGTTTCAAAACTAAATGTCCCAGCTGTGTTTGGCCCATCTTCTCTATGAGAGGTGCAGGAGAAGAAGCACCCGAATCACTGTGGTGGCTGGGAAAGTGCTAGAGAACGGGGAAAAGGGAAAACAAGAGTTAAAAAGCTTACAGATGAGCGCCACTCATGCTCAGACCTCTGCTTTCCCTGAGGACTCATTGTGCAGTGTAAACAAACGTCGTTTTGTGCAACAGGTGTGTTCTTGCCAGGTGATGATGAAGTAAAAAATTTTAGCAATCAAGTAATGCTTCCGTCTATGGAACACGAAGTTGGAGGAGGTTCTGTGTAACAGACTGTATCAGGCCACTAGAGACAGACAGATGAAGAGAGCCCTATGGCTCTCACTAGAGACAGACAGATGAAGAGAGCCCTATGGCTCTCACTAGAGACAGACAGATGAAGAGAGCCCTATGGCTCTCACTAGAGATAGACAAGATGAAGAGAGCCCTATGGCTCTCACTAGAGACAGACAGATGAAGAGAGCCCTATGGCTCTCACTAGAGACAAACAGATGAAGAGAGCCCTATGGCTCTCATTATTTATACAACGATTCCTGTGCAACCTTTTAAAATCAAACCCAGGGCCTACTATGTGGCAAGAAAACAGTCTCATAAACCACACCGCCAGCCAGAGAAATTGAAATGACATTTAATTTCTGTGTTGAAAGTTCTCATTTTCCATGTTTAGTTCTTTATGAGGCATGGTCCTGTTAATTTTTCAGTCATTTTCACATCACTAGAAACTATTGTTGATTTAGCTGTGCATGATGGCACACACCTTTAACCTGAGCACTCAGGAGGCTGAGGCAGAAGGATCTCTGTTCAAGGCTAGGCTGGTCTTCAGAGCGAGTTGCAGGTCAGCCACTACACAGGGAAACACTGTTTTCAAACAAACAAACAAGAAAAGAAAGGAAGGGAGAGAGGGAGGGAGGGAGGGAGGGAGGGAGGGAGACCTACTATGTAAGGTTTGGTTAAAGTTAAGTTGACAGAAGTCAAAAGATGGAGCGGGGAAAGGTTTGGGGGAGAGGGCAAGAAGAAGGGGTCTGTAGAGAAAAATGGAGGCATCTTCCCGTGTGAGTCATCTGGCCAGATTAAAAGCCTCTGTGTCTGCGCAGAAAGCAGATGAGCTTCCACAGGAAGGCAGGGGAAAAATTATAGTAATGCATAACGTTAGGCAGGCATGCCCTTCCCTGGGAGGGGAACAAGGACAGAAGGAAACTGGAAGGGGAACATTCTCCAGACACAGTCCACCCTTGGTTCTTCTCCCATCTCTTCCTTGGTTTTTAGGCTCGTACCTTGCTTATCTGATGCCTGCTGCCTCCTGAGGATGACTTCTGGGCAGCTATATTAGGAAACCAAGTCTTTAACATCCCTTCCACTTGCAGCAAGGTTCCTAGATAACGCTCTCTGTGACAAATGGATATTTAAAAGTCAACTATGAAAAAAAGAAATAGGGAGAATTGTACAGGCCTCTCTCAGTAAGATACCAAGGAGAGGAGGAAGGAAAGAGGGAGACTTACCCCATCTGAGGCTTCTGTAAGACACCCACTATACGCTGGATCCGGTCCATGGCCACACTCTGTTGGAAGCTACTTAATCCTAGGGTGAAAGAGGGAGGGTGATTTGAGGGTGTGAGATGTAGCCCAGTGGCAGAGCTTGTCTGTGAACACAAAGCTCTAGGTTCAGTCCAATGTGGGAGAAGCAGTAGAGCTGGGGACTGAGGTAGATGTAAAGCAGAGACAGAGACAGGTGTGCTTCAAGTGAACTCACATGAAGAAATTAAGTTACAGATGCAAACAGGAAATAGCCACATCTCAAAGAGAAATGGAAGATTTCACTCAGAGAAGGGGGCTACCCCCAGAAATGTAATTGATCAGGTTATTACCTCTGTCAAAGCGACCCATTTTTAGTCCATTCAGTAGGTCTGTGAGAGGCCGTATGAACCCTTGGAGTTCTTTACACTGTAGAAAAACAGCACAAGACTATGAGACCAGCAGTGGTTTTTCTGCTGTAATCTATCTGGCAGCCAATACCATCATCTTAAGGTCCTTATCAACCAATTAGGAGTTTGACATTATACTACCTTCTCTGCTTTCTGTTACCTTTTGAGCAAAGAGCAGGTCTCCCTCTGTAGTACATCCCTGCATGTTTAGACTTGTCTCCAATTCACCGTCTCTTGATCTTTTGACTTCAGATCCTTGCTGTTCCAGATGAGATGCTGTATGTTGGTTACTAGAAATCCTGGGTCGATGTCTGCAGCGGATAGGGCCTGGACTGGGCCTGGAACCTCCTCTCTGACCCACAGTGTCTGGCCTAAGCTCACGGGTATCCTTGCCCTCTCTCTCATTATCAGAAGGGAAGCTAAAGTCACTGTTCACAGGGGACGTGGAAAATGACGGGGAGAGAGAGGAGGAGGAATAAGAAGAAATGCTAGATGGAGAATCCATAGATCCAGGAGCAGAGTGGGCTTGAAGAGCAGCTCCTGTAGTACCAAAGATCAGAACCTGCAATTGAAAAGCAGAGCGAGGGAGTCTGAAATCAGAGTCGAAGGATTAGGAAAGGGACTGGGATACTGGGGCATTCTAAACAGAGTAACACGGTTTTTTGCTTTGTTTTGTTTTTCCGTTCTCAACAGAAACAAGAAAAAAAAAAACTTGCTCTTCCACCCGCATTCAAAATCTAGACCGTTAGCTCACGCAGAGCTCTTGACCCCACACAGCCTTTCTTCCCTTGGGTTCAGAGTGAATAACCGACTTTACACCTTCCCCTCAGCCTGCATTTCTGGGCTGTTCCCGGCCAGACCTCATAGGGAGGGAGCTTATCGACCTAAAAACGGCATCCGCTAGAGGCTGCTCTGCGCACCAGAACCCACCTCGGGTCCCTAGAGTACCGCCCCCGTAGACACCCGGCTCCATAGCTTTCGCATCCCTCACCCTCAGGTGCACTGCGCCCGGCAGTTTATGGTCGCGCCTGCCAGGTGATGCAATACCTCCCAACACTCCGATCTGCGGTCTGACAAGCCCACCCCCTCCGGGTCGTCTTCAGGAGAGCGCCTGAGTGCTTACCTGGGTCTATCGGCTCAGTCCCAGTCGGTATCCAGCTCCTTCACCGTCTGTGCCGGTCTAGCCGACCCACCTCCGCCTCACTCTGTGGGTCCCGCCCCTTCCCCCTCCCAGACACGTGCGGCTCTGCACGTGCCTCCCCCTGCGTACACAGACCTTGTGCTCTCATTGGATAGCTTGCCGGCAACACGTGACGCTACATACAGACACTCACAGCCCATTTGCTGCGGCACGCGGGGGCTCGGCCAATAGAGAGGCAGCCAAGTGGTGATTGGCTGGAGGGGAAGCAGCCCGTGCTCCGCCCGTACATGCGGCTCCTCGGGTGATAGAAAGGAGGATGGAAAAAAGTGAAAATGAAGGAAGGGGCGGAAAAGGGTGGAGCTCATAGCCTTAAATAGGACGGCACTGCGCGGGAGACACGCCGGCTGGAGTGCGCAGAGCCGGGCTTAGCGACGGAGGTGGCGCCTCGGGCCGTGGGCCCTGCTGAGCGCCTCCGCGCACGGGCGTTGCACGTGGGAGCCGTCAGCAACTCGTGTCCGCAACGTGTGTGACAACGGACGTGTGACGCCGGGCATCCGTTCCCTTGTCGGCGGCTCGCCCTCGTGACTCCCCACTCTTTCATCCTCCCCTCCTCGCCACCAAGTTGGGTGCCTCCTGCCCTGCTGGGCGAGGAGGGTGGGGACTGCGGCCAGAACACGGCGTCCTCTCCCCGGCTCCCGCCGCGCAGCTTCTCCAGCCGGTTCTTACATAACTTGCCACGCACGTTACCAGCCTGGATGCTAGCCCGCCAAGACTCTAGAGGTCATAGCCGAACTTGTCCCTGACTTTTCTGCCCCGGGTCCTTCGGACCCTTCACTCAGAATTCTCTGATTCTCAGTACAGGGAACAGAGTAGGGAAGATCTTTGATCCTCAAGGTTATGGCTTTATCTGGCTTCAGTTTATTTGTTCCCTTGAGAAGACTGGAAAAACGTTGAGGAAGGGAAAGAGCAAGTCCAGAGTTTAGAGTAGGACACTGTAGACTGAAGTCAGCAGAGGAATCGCAAGGGGGCACTCTAGTTCTGATTAGGGTCGAGAGAACAGATTTTTTTTTTCTTTTTTTTTTAACACGCACAGTCTTATTAAAAGAAAAAGTTGGACAGGGATATAAGTCGTGGTTTGGAAAACGTGTGGTTATTTTAAATATGCTCTAATGTTTTTTTAACTTATATTTAACAATGTGATTATTTTAGTAAAAGGAAAAAGATTTCCAAATTAAACCTCAGCACTGTTTCCCCAAAAACAATTTCAAGAAAATATCAAGCAAAATATAAGTAATCTAGGTGTGATGGTTCATGCCTTCTGTAATCCTAGAGGTTGAATGCAAGGAGATCAGGTCAAGACCAACCTGAGCCACATGGGAACTTCAGAAAAAGAAAAGAAACAAAAAAACAGAGTTAGAATTACAGGCTTAGAATGAACCTGTTATCTGTGAATATTCTCTTTTCTACCCCAAACTCTATATTTATTTATAGGATATAATTCATTCTAATTAAATGATATCTAATTCCTTTCCTTTTTCTTTTTCTTTTTTAATTTCAAGACAGGTTTTCTCTGTAGCTCTGGCTGCCCGCCCTGGAACTCACTTTTGTAGACCAAGCTGGCTCTCGAACTCAGAGATCTGCTTGCTTCTGCTTCCCTGGCTTGTAATTCTTTCTAATGTGCCCTTCATGCCCCTGAGTCTTAGTGTACATATCAGTATTGACTTCAGAACACACTCCCATTAAGAAGTAGGCAAAACTAATTTTTTATTTTTCATACAAATTCTTGCCAAAGAATTCTAGTCCGAAGAGTCATAGCAGCCTTCTCTCACCTGGGGAAGGGGGGATAAAAACAGGGTCAGGATGGCTGGCTCAGTGTTTAAGAGAACATATTACTTTCACAGGGGACCTAAGTTCCGGTCCCAGCACTCATGTCAGGTGGTTCACAGACCCCTGTAACTCCCCTTCCAGGAACTCTGGTGCTTCTAGCCTGAGCACTCATTCTCATATGAACACACACACACACACACACACACACACACACACACATACTTAAAAATAATAAATTGGAAAAACAAGGAAGCCAAGGAAGTCTCTTTGCTCCCATCTCTATGCAAATGCTACAGACTTCATGTTCTAAGCTGGATTCTCTGTCCTATTTGTTAAGATGTGCCCCTTCATGCCTCCTTCCTCCTCCTGCTGAACTTTGCCTCTTGGCTCTACTGGACTGGAAGACACACCTATTTTGACCTCTGGCACCTGCTATAACTTCAAACCTGGCCAGAATGGAACCAGCTGATTTTCCAGGCTTATTGGGAGTTTGGAAAAGGCTTCTCCATTCAGCCTGCTTCTCTCCTAGGAGGTCTTGAAAGTCTTCCCAGATCCGAATTAAAAAAAAAAAAAAGTCATCCCAAAAGTCTTTGCTTCAACATCTTTAAAATTTTTCGAGATCAGATAATTAGATACTTCTAAAGGTGATCCTGCTCCCCTCTTTAATTGTATGAGAACTGATGTCCAGGTTGGAAATCCAAGCCAAAGATAACTGACAAGAATTACTTTACAGCACCCCACCAAGGCCAGCGGCTGACCTCTTACCTTCTACATAAAATGCACCCATCCTTGAAGGAGGGTCCATAACAGAAGACAGGACACAGGATTCTGGAGAGTGGACATGGCATCATTCTGATCAGGACTCTGCTAAAACACCCCCCACAGACACAAATAGGTCATTGTCACCCTTCTAGCAATTCCCATTCCCTCTCCAGGAAGGCAGTCACGTCTTTACAATAACCCCTTTCTTCTTTACCTCTTTTCTCAAAGGAGATCCCACCTGCCTCTCTCTCACAATAAGAATTCTTCCTACTTGGGAGGCCACAACCCTCAATAACATTGAATTTTTTTACCCTTCGTGTTCATGACTTTGTACTAGTCACTGTCCTAGTTGCTTTTTGGGGGTGGGAGGATATAAATGAGACTTAGTTCCTGGGCTTCCCATCTATAGAGAACCTACCACACATTTACAAACATGTGTAGGATGTTTACTGCCAGGCTTCTGCTTGCCAGTCTTACTGGATCCTCCATTTGTGTTCAACTGCATGTATGTTGCTCTTTGGCTCTTTTGCCTTTATAAAGTATAAAGTCATATGCCCTTTTTGTTTTTGCTTTGTTTTGAAACAGGGTTTCTCTGCAACAGCCCTGGCCATCCTGGAACTTGCTCTGTAGACCAGGCTGGGCTGAAACACAGAGATCCTCCTGCCTCTGCCTTCCTAGTGCTGGGATCAAAGCCGAGTGTACCACTTCACGGGGCCTTCCTTACTCTTGAGATGTTTTTTATTTCGGAGATCAACTGCCTCTGCCTTTGGAGTCGTGGACGCCTCACCGAGCTTACACTCCGTACTCACTTATTCCACAAATTTAACTTTCTCTTAACAACTCAAACTACATTCTTGGGGGCATCCACACCTCCTTCTCTTTGGACTCTCAGTAACTTTTGATTGATTATATTAACCTTTCTCTTCTAGTCCCTATAACTCAAATTTGGCTTTCTGCCTGCCTCTTCCATTTCCTTGGGTGATTTCTCTGCCTCCGCTGACTTAGTCATTGACCTTTCTGCTTTCACAATGTGACTTTGCCCTTAGGTCTCTCCTCCTGATCTAGTTCAGCTGCCTTCAGAACACATACACAGGACTGTCCAATTTATCACCTTCCCCTAGACCACTCTAGGCTCCAACAGTTACCATTTTGGTCAAACATTTTCCCAAATATGTTTATTAGATTGTATTTCTTGTATTTCTGTTTCTTGTGTGTGTGTGTGTGTGTGTGTACACACACGCATGCATGAACACATGTATAGAGGTCAGAGGATAACTTGGAGGAATGGGTCCTAGGGATTGAACCCTGATTGTCTTGCTAGCAGACATCTTTCCCATGTGAGCCATCTCATTGGTCCTCTCCAAACATGATGATAGGTTATTTTAACTCTCCTTGTTTATCACTGAAGATAACTTTATTTTTCTCTTCTCAGTTTGCACCAGCACTCCCTTGTCCAGTCCTTTAGCAAGTGTTCCTGAGACAGTATACACAGTTCCATTCTGCACCTTCCATTTAGTCAGAAGAAGAGTTTCCTAAATGTTGACGTCATTGTCTTCACCCTGCTGGAGGACTTACTAGGCCTCTTATTGCTTACAAGCCCAAAGTCCAGCCTGACATTTCAGACTATCTGTAGGCTTATCCCTAACTTGATGTATACAATATTAGTATGCAAATATGAAAGGCCTTGTGTAATTTATTTTACGTTTACTCATTTAGGTGGGAGGGCATAGGATGTTACAAGTGTGGAGGTCAAAGGATAACTCTTGGAATCTCATCTATCCTTCTACCAATCAGGTCTCAGGGATCTAACATGGACCAGATCCTAAGACTTGTCAGCAAGCACCTTTACTTGAGCAGCCATCTTACTGCTCAAAAAAGTTTTCTAATATGAGGCCTGTGTAGCTTGGCTGTCCTAGAATTTGCTGTGTAGACCAGTCTGGCCTTGAACTCACAGACATTTACCTACCACTGCCTCTAGAGGCATTTGCCACTATGACCAGCCATTTTTTTTTTTTTTTTTAAATAAGGCCTTGCTATGCATTTCTGGTTGGTCCTGCTTCCATCCCACATCCCCACAGGTGGCCTATTCAGTTTTTTTTCTCCTCCTCATCCTCTCCTGTAAGGAAGCCTCCTGTTCCCCAAACCCACATGGTGAAAACATAATTCTCGAATTACCTATGCAGGCCCTTGCACATTTTTTTTTTTTATGATTTATACTGTTCCCCTCTGTAGACTCTCCTGTCACACCCTAGACACCAAAATTAGCTATTTGTTCTGGGGCTCTTCCTTGAACAACTTTCACTCTTACCTTAACGGTATCGATTCTAAGTTCACTTCTCCTTACAGAACACCAAACAAACAAAAGCTTCGTTAGTCTCAAGTTATATCTAAAGCAAAATCTGGATTGGTAAAACAACTCAGCAGGTAAACACTCAGGGTCGACAAACTGAGTTCCTAAAGTTGTCCTCTGGCCTCAACACATGCACACAG